CATTTTCTTCCATATATCTTCACCTTCAACTCCTTCCTGCCTGTATCCTTTCCTCCATGGAGAACAAACTGGGTAGGAACTGTTTAAGATGAGGAGTCATGTATTCATCTCACCCATGTGTTGTTTGAAAACTGCAGTCCAGTCTGCAGTTCCTGTAGGCCTGTTTTTCTTCCTTCCTTTCTTTTACCTGCCTGAACTTGCCAGCCCTCACACCACGTTAATATATTCCAATTGTATGTTTTTTATTTTATAGAGGGTTGTTTATATTTTTATTTCATAATATTCTTGTGAGGGTATGAAATGGTGTGTCTTTTGATCATTCTTTTTTCCCTAGTACCCAAAAAAGTGCTTGGAATGTAGTAAGTAATCAATAAGTATTTCTTTAATCCTGGTGATAAAAGTACATAATGAAAGAAAGCAGTAGCATAGTATATATAGAGATCATTGGATTGGAGGTAGGGAAACTTGGATTCTAATCCTGGCTTTGCCATAAAATGCCTGTGTGAGCCCTGAGAAGTCACTTCTCCTTAGCTGGACCTCAGTTTCTTTATAGGCACAGCAATAAAGTCCATTAGTTTATGGAAAACTCAGCAGTGGCCACAGGACTAGAAAAATTCAGTTTTTATTCCAGTCCCAAAGAAGGGCAGTACTAAAGAATGTTCAAGCTACCGTTCAATTGCTCTCATTTCACATGCTAACCAGATAATGCTGAAAAATCCTTCAAGGTATGCTTCAGCAGTACATGAACCGAGAACTCCTAGATGTACAAGCTGGATTTAGAAAAGGCAGAGGAACCAGCGATCATATTGCCAACATCCATTGGATCATAGAAAAAGCAAGAGAATTCCAGGAAAACGTCTACTTCTGCTTCATTGACTACATTAAAGACATTTACTGTATGGATCACAACAAACTGTGGAAAATTCTTCAAGAGACGGAAATGCCAGACCACCATACCTGTCTGTTGAGAAGCCTATATTCAGGACAAGAAGCAATAGTTAGAACTGAACATGGAACAACAGACTGGTTCAAAATTGGGAAAGGAGCACCTCAAGACCGTTTATTGTCACCCTGCTTATTTAACTGATATGCAGAGTACATCCTGCGAAATGCCAGGCTGGATGACTCACAAGCTGGAATCAAGATTGCTGGGAGAAATATCAATGACCTCAGATATGCAGATGATACTACCCAAATGGCAGGAAACAAAGAGGAACTAAAGAGCCTCTTGATGGAGGTGAAAGAGGGGAGTGAAAAAGCAGGATTAAAACTCAACATTCAGAAAACTAAGATCATGGCATCCAGTCCCATCAGTTCAGTTCAGTCTCTCAGTCATGTCCGACTCTTTGTGACCCCATGAATCGCAGCACGCCAGGCCTCCCTGTCCATCACCAACTTCCGGAGTTTACTCAAACTCATGCCCATCGAGTCGGTGATGCCATCCAGCCATCTCATTCTCTGTTGTCCCTTTCTCCTGCCCACAAAGTCTCCCAGCATCAGGGTCTTTTCCAGTGAGTCAACTCTTCGCATGAGGTGGCCAAAATATTGGAGTTTCAGCTTCAGCATCAGTCCTTCCAATGAACACACAGAACTTATCTCCTTCAGGATGGACTGGTTGGATCTCCTTGCAGTCCAAGGGACTCCCAAGAGTTTTCTCCAACACCATAGTTCAAAAGCATCAGTTCTTCGGTGCACAGCTTCCTTCACAGTCCAACTCTCACATCCATACATGACCACTGGAAAAACCATAGCCTTGACTAGACAGACCTTTGTTGGCAAAGTGATGTCTCTGCTCTAATATGCTATCTAGGTTTGTCATAACTTTTCTTCCAAGGAGTAAGCGTCTTTTAATTTCATGGCTGCAGTCACCATCTGCAGTGATTTTGGAGCCCCAAAAAATAAAGTCTGACACTGTTTCCACTGTCTCCCCATCTATTTGCCATCAAGTCATGGGACCAGATGCCATGATCTTAGTTTTCTGAATATTAAGCTTTAAGCCAACTTTTTCACTCTCCTGTTTTACTTTCATCAAGAGGCTCTTTAGTTCTTCTTCACTTTCTGCCATAAGGGTTGTGTTGTCTGCATATCTGAGGTTACTGATATTTCTCCCGGCAATCTTGATTCCAGCTTGTGCTTCATCCAGCCCATCAGTTTCTCATGATGTACTCTGCATATAAGTTAAATAAGTAGGGTGACAATATATAGCCTTGGCGTACTCCTTTTCCTATTGGGAACCAGTCTGTTGTTCCATGTCCAGTTCTAACTGTTGCTTCCTGACCTGCATATAGGTTTCTCAAGAGGCAGGTCAGGTGGTCTGGTATTCCCATCTCTTTCAGAATTTTCCACAGTTTATTGTGATCCACACAGTCAAAGGCTTTGGCATAGTCAATAAAGCAGAAATAGATGTTTTTCTGGAACTTTCTTGCTTTTTCAATGATCCAGCGGGTATTGGCAGTTTGATCTCTGGTTCCTCTACCTTTTCTAAAACCAGCTTGAACATCTAGACTTTTGCCAAGAGAACGCCCTGGTCGTAGAAAACACCCTCTTCCAACAACACAAGAGAAGACTCTACACATGGACATCACCTGATGGTCAACACTGAAATCAGATTAATTATATTCTTTGCAGCCAAAGATGGAGAAGCTGTACAGTCAGCAAAAATAAGACCGGGAGCTGACTGTGGCTCAGATCATGAACTCCTTATTGACAAATTCAGACTTAAACTGAAGAGAGTAGGGATAACCACTAGACCATTCAGGTATGACCTGAATCAAATCCCTTATGACTATACAGTGGAAGTGAGAAATAGATTTAAGGGACTAGATCTGATAGACAGAGTGCCTGATGAACTATGGACAGAGGTTTGTGACATTGTACAGGAGACAGGGATCAAGACCATCCCCATGGAAAAGAAATGCAAAAAGGCAAAATGGTTGTCTGAGGAGGCCTTACAGATAGCTGTGAAACGAAGAGAAGCGAAAAGCAAAGGAGAAAAGGAAAGATATTCCCATCTGAATGCAGAGTTCCAAAGAATAGCCAGGAGAGATAAGAAAGCCTTCCTCAGCGATCAATGCAAAGAAATAGAGGAAAACAACAGAGTGGGAAAGATCTCTTCAAGAAAATTAGAGATACTAAGGGAACATTTCATGCAAAAATTGGCTCAATAAAGGACAGAAATGGTATAGACCTAACAGAAGCAGAAGATATTAAGAAGAGGTGGCAAGAATACACAGAAGAACTGTACAAAAAAGATCTTCATGACCCAGATAATCACGATAGTGTGATCACTCACCTACAGCCAGACATCCTGAAATGTTAAGTCAAGTGGGCCTTAGAAAGGATCACTACAAACAAAGCTAGTGGATGTGATGGAATTCCAGTTGAGCTATTTCAAATCCTGAAAGATGATGCTGTGAAAGTGCTGCACTCAATGTGCCAGCAAATTTGGAAAACTCAGCAGTGGCCATAAGACTGCAAAAGTTCAGTTTTCATTCCAATCCCTAAGAAAGGCAATGCCAAAGAATGCTGAAACTACCACACAATTGCACTCATCTCACACGCTAGTAAGGTAATGCTCACAATTCGCCAAGCCAGTCCCATCACTTTATAACAAATTGATGGGGAAACAATGGAAACAGTGGCAGATTTTCTTTTCTTGAACTCCAAAATCACTGTAGATGGTGACTGCAGCCATGAAATTTAAAAAAACGCTTCCTTCTTGGAAGAAAAGCTATGACAAACCTAGGCCGTATATTGAAAAGCAGAGATATCACATTGCCGACAGAGGTCCATATAGTCAAAGCTATGGTTTTTCCAGTGGTCATGCTTGGATATGAGAGTTGGATCATAAAGAAGGCTGAGTGCCGAAGCATTGATGCTTTCAAATTGTGGTGATTGTCAAGAGAAGACTCTTGAGAGTCCCTTGGACAGAAAGGAATTCAAACCAGTCAATCCTATGGGATATCAGCCCTGAACATTCATTAGAAAGACTGATGCTTAAGCTGAAACTCCAGTAGTTTGACCACCTGATGGGAAGAGTTGACTCATTGGAAAAGACCCTGATTTTGGGAAAGATTGAGGGCAGGAGGAGGAGGGGATGACAGAATGATGTGATGTTGGATGACATCACTAACCCAATGAACATGAATTTGAGCAAAGTCCAGGAGATAGTGGAGGACAGGGAAACCTGGTGTGCTGCAGTTCATGGGATCGCAAAGAATGGTACACAATTTAGCAACTGAACAACAACAACAATATTCATGGGATACAGTAAATAAGAGCATTAATGTGTAGCTGAAACTTCTTTAGCAGTTTAGGTTTGGTGTATATAACAATTTTCTTGAAGGGAAAGGGGAAGTCACTCAGTCTTGCCCGACTCTTTGTGACCCCATGGACAGTAGCCTGCTCCAAAGCTCCTCCATCCATGGGATTTTCTAGGCAAGAATACTGAAGTGGGTTGCCATTTCCTTCTCCAAATTTTCTTGAAATATATGTCAAATTTCCTAGCTTTCCAAGTGACTTAAATATGAAAGTATGCTTATTTTTAGCTTCATTTGATTTTAAGGTGAAACAAGCTGAACCTTAACTTTATCTTAATTGGCTTTTAATTTTTTGATGCTATGCTCTCTTAAACTGAAAAAGGGGAAAAGAAACTTGAGATGGGTAATTAGTATTTGAAAAAGTATAGTCATTATGATTATACCTCCCATTGATGTAATAATAAGATTATATCTTAATGTACAGAGTTGAAACACTTAATACCAGAGGTAATTTTTAAAATTAAACTTTAAAGATTTTTATTTATTTAAAGTGAACTATTTTAGTGCTCTCCTGCATTTGACTTTTCTGTTAGTACAAAGTGTATGGTATTCCAAGTGTTCAGCTTATCTTATTAGGTGATAACTGAGACAGAAACGCTTGTACTCACCAGTCAGTGACAGTTTAACATCTGCTTCTTGCTCAGTGCTGTGTATGTTAACCTGTTCATTAATTCCTTGCAGAGCGGCAAGAAGAGAAACTGAAGAATAACAACAGAGATCTGTCAATGGTAAGAGTCCTAAATATAACTTCAGGATAAACCACATGGTTTTCAGCAGAAGACCATGATTTGCATCAAGTACATTGCAGTTACCTTTTCAGAAATTTATAGTTATGCATGCTATAAGTAATATAATGGGTGTTCCTAGACCAAATAGAAGTGAAAATGTGCTACAGGGCTGAAGCTTCATGTTGGTAATATGAGTAGCTTTTTTTTTTTTTAAGGGTGTCTTGAGGTCATAATTTTGTCATTTTCACATTTTTTTTTAGCTTCTCCCTTATGTTTTCGAATGAAGTTACTTATTTTCTTTTTCTTTCTTATGTTATTACTGAGTCTTTGGCTTATGGTGACCTGGTAATCCTATCATAAGAGTTGGAACATCGTAGATGGCCTTTATTCTTTAAGAGGCCTTTTATTCTAAAGGTCAGACATATCATAAAGTGTAAGGAAAAGTGATTTTATTAGCCATTTACTCATTATTTATACAGAGTAGAGTTTGTTCAAGCATGTCTTTCTGAGGCATAGGTAGGCGAATTTTATGGCTTGACTGATTTTTCTTCCTAATTTCTGTATGTACAACACAAGACACCTAAACTGTGCAACAGTTACCTTACTGAGAGATCTTTGCTATATTATTTTACCTTCTGTTTCTTAAAACTTTTTTTAAAAAAAAATTTATTTGTTCGTTTATTTGGCTCTCAGGTCTTAGTTGCATCACATGGGATCTTTCATTGCAATTCACGGACTCTAGTTGTTGCAAGCAGGCTTAGTTGCTCCATGGCGTGTGGTCTCTTAATTCCCCGCCTGGGGATTGAACTGCGTCCCCAACCTTGCAAGGTGGATTCTTAACTACTGGGCCACCAGGGAAACCCCTTGAAATTCTTTTTAAGAAAGATTATAATTTAGAAGTGTATTTTTTTGAAAATAGCTTTTCTGTTGTCACAGTTATTCCACGCTCAAGAGACCAAATTTGAAAACTGCAGAAAGCAGAGAAAAAACTTCTGATAAACTGTTAGTCATGTTTTTATGATCTTTTGTTTATTTATACTTTCATGGCACATGTAATTAAGAAAGTAGCTAGCTACAAGAAACAAAATACCTTATATGCTTGAACATGTAATCGCTTTTTCACTTGATCAAGAGGTAGAGGTTGGTAGTCCCAGGCTGGTGTGGCAGCACAGTAGTGTCATTAAAGACTCCAGTTAGCCTTCCTTAGCTTATGTTCGTTTGGTTGTTTGATGTTGCTTTACTGTCAGGAATTACGTTCTTCATTCCAGACAAGGAGTATGGGCAGGAGGCCTAAAGGGATGCTAGCCAAGTTTGCCCCTTTTAAAGTTCTGGTTAGTGCTTGTACTTGTCAGTCGTTGGCCAGAATTAGGTCATGTGGCCACCCCAGTACGGTTCATCAGAAGGTGACAAGGAGAAGAGGCCTTGGGGGTGGACGTAGGTTAGACAACAGGCAGTTTTTTGCCAAGGAGCACCTTTTAAAAATGAATGATATGAGATCAAAATTGGGGGGTGTGCTTTAGTAGTGGTTTTCCTTTAGTGTGAAGTGACAATTTGTTGTTCTCCTTACAGGTTCGAATGAAATCCATGTTTGCAATTGGCTTTTGTTTTACTGCCCTAATGGGAATGTTTAATTCCATGTGAGTATCCTTTTATATGGCTTTATCTAACTTGCCCTGTGTGGCAATTAACTTTCTTGTAATATTTTGATATTTCATCTTTACAGAAAAGTTATAGGACTAGTGTATATTTTTCTGAATCTTTCAGGAGCTTAATGTGGATTTCATGCCCCTTTATTCATAACTACTAAACGTATGTGTTACCTAAGAACATGGACATTCTCTTATCCTCAATCCAATTGTCAAAATTCAGGGAAAATTTAATTTTGTTAGAATACAGTTATATGGTAACTTTTTCACCCTCTTAATTTTGAGGATATCTTATGTATAAAGCAAAGACTAAGCTATTATGAGGCCTCTAAAAAAAGTTTAGTATGTCCCTTGGGTTTTTAAGTTCCTTACTAGCAAACTGCTTCCAAATGAAGGCAGTCAGTCATTCAGAGATATTTTGACTCTTAAAATAATCTTAACAACTATAATCTTGTTTAACGATAAGGTAAGTTACTGTCTTCTAAACTAATGTATAGCAGGCCTGAATAATTATGGGACTGACTTTGACAGAAGCTGGGAAAATAGCCAAAGATGACAAGCAGTCATTTATTACCTTTCAAAGCTCTCCTGAGCTATCCCACACGCATTAGGATTTTCCTCTTATTCTTCCTTCTCTTTCTCCTTCTCTCCCCACCTCCCTGCTTCATTTCTGTCTCTCCCTTCCCTTGTACTCATACCCCCGACACAAGTCTGTTCTCTTCACACCTGTGAAGTACCCACTTTGTGCCAGGAATTGTGCTAGGTATCAGAATATAACAAATAAGATGTGTTCCCTGCCCTCAATAGGATCAAAATTTTATGGAAAGAAAAGACCAATAAATACATTAATGGATGTTATTAAATGTAGGTGTGTGAGAAGTATGGTGGGGGGAAAAAGGGACTGGTTAGGTGAGAGACCAAAGGGAATGTCCAAAATTATTTCAATACAAAATTTCCACTTAACTAGTGATTTTGAAAAGGACCTTTGGAAGATTAAATAACTTGCCCAGGTTATATAGAAGTCTCATAATTTGTAACTTATAACTCTAATCTCAGTATTATCTTTTCACTGCTATGCTTTCTCTTATTTCTTGAATTTATTTCACCATGGATTACCAGTCAAACCAAACACTGAAAGATTTTATAGTTAACTAGCAAGCTTAAGGTTATGACCAACCTAGACAGCATATTAAAAAGCAGAGACATAACTTGGCCAACAAAGGTCCATCTGGTCAAGGCTATGGTTTTTCCAGTGGTCATGTATGGATGTGAGAGTTGGACTATAAAGAAAGCTGAGTGCCGAAGAATTGATGCTTTTGAACTGTGGTGTTGGAGAAGACTCTTAAGAGTCCCTTGGACTGCAAGGAGAGCCAACTAGTCCATCGTAAAGGAGATCAGTCCTGGGTGTTCATTGGAAGGACTGATGTTGAAGCTGAAACTCCAATACTTTGGCCACCTGATGCAAAGAGCTGACTCATTGGAAAAGACCCTGATGCTGGGAAAGATTGAGGGCAGGAGGAGAAGGGGTCGACAGAGGATGAGATGGCTGGATGGCATCACTGACACAATGGACATGGGTTTGGGTGGACTCCGGGAGTTGGTGATGGACAGGGAGGCCTGGTGTGCTGCAGTTCATGGGGTCGCAGAGTCAGACGCGACTGAGTGACTGAACTGAACTGAACAAGCTTAACTAGTAAGTTAACTAGTAAGCTGTGTGGATCACAACAAACTGGAAAATCCTTAAAGAGATGGAAATATCAGACCATCTTACTTTACTCCTGAGAAACCTGTATGCAGGTCAAGAAGTGACAGTTAGAACCAGACATGGAACAACAGACTGGTTCAAAATTGGGAAAGGAGTATATCAAGGCGGTATATTGTCACCCTGCTTATTTAACCTACATGCAGAGTACATCATGCAAAGTGCTGGATGATTCACAAGCTAGAATCAAGATTGCTGGGAGAAATATCAATAACTTCAGATATGCAGATGACACCACTCTTATGGCAGAAAGCAAAGAGGAACTAAAGAGCCTCTTGATGAAGTTAAAAGAGGAGCGTGAAAAAGCTGGCTTAGAAGTCAACATTCAGAAAGCTAATATCATGGCATCTGGTCTCATCACTTCATGGCAAATAGATGGGGAAACAATGTAAACAGTGACCTCTTTTATTTTCTTGGGCTCCAAAATTACTTCAGATAGTGACTACAGACATGAAATTAAAAGATGCTTCCTCTTTGGAAGAAAAGATATGACAAACCTAGACAATATATTAAAAAGCAGAAACATTACTTTGCCAATAAAGGTCTATATAGTCAAAGCTATGGTTTTTCTAGTAGTTATGTATGGATGTGGAAGTTGAACAATAAAGGTGGCTGAGTGCAGGAAGAATTGATACTTTTGAAATGTGGTGTTGGAGAAGGCTCTTGAGAGTCCCTTGGACTGCAGTGAGATCAAACCAGTCAGTCCTAAAGGAAATCAGTCCTGAATATTCATTGGAAGGACTGATGCTGAAGCTGAAGCTCCAGTAGTTTGGCCACCTGATGTGAGGAGCCAACTGATTGGGAAAGACCCTGATGCTGGGAAAGATAGAAGCTAGGAGGAGACGGGGATGCCAGAGCATGAGATGGTTTGATGGCATTACTGACTCATTGGACATGAATTTGGGCAAGCTCCGGGAGATGGTGAAGGACAGGGAAACCTGGCATGCTGCAGGCATGCTGCAACCATGGGGTTGCAAAAGAGTCACACATGACTGAGCCACTGAACAACAGTAAGCTTCATTGTGGGCCTGTGTGCTCAGTCATGTCCAACTCTTTGCAACCCCATGGACTGTGGCCCGCCAGCCTCCGCTGTCCATGGAATTTCCCCAGCAATAATACTGGAGTGGATTGCCATTTCTCCCTCCAGGGGATCTTCCGTGACCCAAAAATCAAACCCACATATCCTGCGTCTCCTGCATTACAGGTGAATTTTTTACTGCTGAACCACCGGGGAAGCTTCACTGATACGACTCAAATACTCAAATATTCTTTAATTTGTCACATTCTGGACTGTATAGAGCTGGCTAAGTTTTCATCTATATTTTTTAAATTTGATGTTTAACCTCTTTATTTTTCTCATACTTCTGATTTTTAAAATAGTATTTTTATAGGTTAGTGGTTGGTGTGTGTGTATGTGTGTACAGCTATTCTTAACGGGTCTTGGCTTCTCTTGCCATGCTGTGCTCAGTTGTGTCTGATTCTTTATTGTGTTATAGCTACAACAGATTTGAATCCCTGCTTTGCTTGGAGTTCACCATTTGATTTTACTCCTTAGTCTATGTACAGGTGGGTTCTAGTGAAACAGATTGAGAAATAACTATGGGGAATATAACTAATATTTTATAATAACTCTAAATGGAGTATAAACTTCAAAAATTGTGAGTCACTATGTTGTACACCTGAAACTTATATAATATTGTAAATCAACCATAACTGAATTTTTAAAAAAAAATAAAATGATGGCCATCTCTATCAGTAGCAATGCTATATTATATTCATGTGATTCCCTTTCTTAGTGTTATTTGTGAACATATTGTGGTGTGAAAGGCTGCTCTATGGAAGGGACATGTGCTTCACATATATATACATATTTAATTTTTATTTATTTGGCTGTGTTGGGTCTTAGTTGCAGCACACGGGATCTTCGCTGTGTCCTGTGGGATGTTCTGTCACAACACCTGGACTCTAGCTGTGGCACCCATGGGCTCAGCAGTTGGGATGCACAGACTTAGTTGCCCTTTGGAATGTGGGATGTTAGTTCTCCCTGCCAGGGATTGAACCCACGTGCCCTGCTTTTCACAGTGCATTCTTTTTTTTTTTTTCTTTGTTTTTGAAATTTTTAGAATGTTGTATTGGTTTCTAACATACAGCAATGAGAATCAGCCGTAATTACACATATATCGCCTTCCCCTTAAGCCTCCCTCCCCTCCCCCAGTCCCAGCCCTCTCAGTCACCATAGAGCTCCAGCTGGGCTTCCTGTGTTATACAGCAGCTTCTTCCTAGCTACCCACTTTACATGGGATAGTGTATGTATGTCGAGGTTACTTAGCTCCATTCGTCCCACTCTCTCCCTCCTGCACTGTGTCCACAAGTCCACTCTCTACATCTCTGTCTCCATTCCATTCTGGCAAATAAGTTGATCAATACCATTGTTCTGGATTCCATCCATATCTGTTAATGTGTGATATTAGTTTTTCTCTTTCTGACTTCTATCACTCTTGTGTAACAGACTCTAGGTTCATCCACCTCACTAGAACTGGCTCAAGTCTGTTCTTTTTTATGGCTGAGTAACATTCCATTATATTTATATATGTACCAGATCTTCTTCATACATTCATATATCAATAGACATCTAGGTTGTTTCTATGTCCTGGCAATAGTATTGGAAATAGTGCTGCAGTAAACATCAGGGTATGTGTGTCTTTTAGGATTGTGGTTTTCTCAGGGTATATATATATATGCCTAGTAGTAGGATTGCAGGGTCGTATGGTAGTTCTGTTTTTAGTTTTTTAAGGAACCTTGTACTGTTCTCCATAATGACTGTATCAGTTTACATTCCCACCAGCAGTGCAGGAGGGTCCCTTTTCTCCATGTCCTGTTCAGCATTTATTGTTTGTCAATTTTTTGATGATGGCCATTCTGACTGGTGTGAGGTGATACCACACTGTAGTTTTGGTTTGTGTTTCTCAAAATAGTTACTGATATTGAGCATCCTTTCATGTATTCATTGCCATGTGTATGTCTTTTTTGGAGAAATGTCTGTTTAGGTCTTCTGCCCACTTTTTGATTGGGCTATTTGTTTTCTTGCTATTGAGCTGTATGAGCTGCTTATATATTCTGGAGATTAATCTTTGTCAGTTTCATTTGCAGTTATTTTTGAGGGTTGTCTTTTAATCTTGTTTATTGTTTCCTTTACTGTGCAGAAGCTTTTAAGTTTTATTAGGTCCCA